AAACATGTGACGTCACACTAGGGAGGGGGGGATCTCAGAAATGTGACCACCTGTGACAAGGACGGAGGGGGGGTAAAAAAATCATGAAATTCGTGTGACGTACTTTATGGATGGCCCCTAAATGGGTATATGATCCGACACTAGCCCATGTTAACATGGGCATATAAATGGTATGGTGAAGTCAGAAAATTGATATCTTCATTTTAATCATTTTAATTTTCATACAAACCGGATTTTATAAAACTTATTTAGTATGAAAATTAAAAAAATTAAATGATGATATCAAATTTCTGACTTCACCATACCATTTATATGCCCATGTTAACATGGGCTAAGTGTCGACTCATATACCCATTTACCTAAAACCCTGTAGATGACTTACACTGAAGTGTTCAACTACATAGTTTCCAACATGACAAAAATCGGTACCCGCGATCCGGTATTGACGGTGGCGCCCCCCTGTCAATGTCACGGTTTTTGAAGCTCACCCAATATGTTAAAACAAATACAAAAGTGTCACTTTGAGGAGTCTTTAAAGTAACACAAGTATTATATTAATTATGTAAGTATTATGAATTTTTTTGCTCTGCTAGTGATGTGTACAAAGGTTTTGATCTGTAATTGCGTAGCTAATGACGTCACGCTCACGTCAGTCAAAGATCTTTAAATATTCCATATATGTAATATGTTTCGTAAGGTTCACATGACAAAAAAAATTACCTGAAACATTAAGTTGGCACTTTCGCTAAGGGTAGATTCATCAGGAGAATCAATGGGCGTTTGTAGGGTAAATCGCGTGTCGAACTGAGAGACGTCGTCCTCACTGGTCTGAAAAATAAGAGTTCTCGATTAAATTGATTAATATTTATTTTATTGATAAGGTACACCAACAGTACATTTTTTTTTATGCAAGACAAAGCAAGTATTTGACCGCAATCGCACCTGGTCACCAGGTGCGATTGCGGATTAACACCAGGTCCTGGTGTTAAGTTAGATGCAGTCTAGGATGGTATAATTGATAATATTATAAATAAATAAATAAATAAATTATGGCTGCAAGAAATCAACTTCAATATAGCTGCATTATATCACTAGTTATATTTGCAATATATTAACTATCACAATGATACTGAAAGAATTGATGGCCACATTTAGAAAAATTGTATTCTATTGTTTGACTATTATAGCAGATAAAATGTTATTAACCGTGACTATAAATAAATAAAAAATCTCAAGATTCCAGTTCAACTATATTGTAATATTACGACTGTAAATATGACCAATATTGATAATTTCAACAAGTACATTATTTAAGTCTTATCACTTTTATAAACAAACTACATTAAGTATCATCAAGGGTATTGATTAAGATAATAATGAATCTGAGAAGTTTAACTTTATTGTGGATTTTTATCTCATACCAAAAGAAACTGATCATTGTTATGATTTATACATTCTAGACATTTTATCCTTTTCTTTCTAATTATTGTAAAAAATGAACCTGTTTTCTCTTTTGACAATAATTTAGGTATGATTTAATTAATTTGTTTTAATATAGAGCTTGAGTACCGAGTATTTGTAGCTTACCAGTCTAGGTTTAATTGGAGGTTCCAGTCTTCGATTGAACACATCGTCCCAGTGCACATGCTTGAAGAAAGCATGGCCTCGGACAGCAGCTGCCCCGGCTGCACCCAAGCGTTGTGTCTCAGAACGCTTCATCAAACGCCTTATCAAGTCCCGGGCATCTTGTGTAAGGTAGCCCGGCAACATTAATTTAGCCTTCAATATTTTTTCTATTGTTTTGGTACGATTGTCTCCCGTAAATGGCGGCTGAAATTTTGAAAAAAAAAACCCCTTATTATTGTGTTGAATACAGGGTTCGAAAGGATAATTATCAATGATAATTATCACGATAATTATCGTGATAATAACAGATAGATAATTATCGGTTGATAATAACAAAAAAATGCGCTCGTGAAAATGGACTGTATTTGAAGTTTTCGAACGTGTATTTCCGCACTTGCGTCTAATGGTGGGCGTTAATCAACATAGATAGTTATAAAACCTATTTTATTAACTCCACAATGATTACTAGTTATCTAGCGTCAAATTATTTGTCTATTTTCAAAGCTTTATGCGACTAATGATGATCTAATGGATAACTTGACAACAATCAGCAACCAAAAACATAAAACAACATTAGCAATCACAATTTTTTATGTAACAATATGACAAATTTATACTGTTGATAATTATCGGATAATTATCATGAAGCGTAATTATCTTGATAATTTTGAACCCTGGTTGAATATAACTTTTTTAACAGATGGCGCTACTTGCATATAAAACTGGGCTTAACTGGGGTGCCGTAATAATTTTGAAAATGAAAATGTATTTACCTGACCAATAAGCATGTCATACATCAAGGCACCTAAGCTCCACCAATCTACAGCTTTTCCATGTCCATTTCGTGTCAAAATTTCTGGTGCCCTGAATAATTATTAAAGTTTAATTAGAAGTTACATAGGTACTGATAATTTAACAACTAAAATTTAGTACTTGTTCTAATCTAAGTGAATTTCATAATAATTTTGCAAAACTTAAAAAGGATTATAACTTACATATATTCAATTGTGCCACAAAAAGTGTGTGTAACAATTCCCTCTTGAATATGTTCCTTGCATAAGCCAAAATCTGTCAGTTTCACATGTCCTTGAGCATCCAAAAGTACATTCTCTGGTTTCAGGTCTCGATAAATAATCCCTAGACTGTGTAAATGTTCCAGAGCCAAGATGATTTCTGATAAATAAAAGCTAAAAACAGAAAAATATCTTCAGAAAAATGCTCGATAAAAATACAATGTGTTAAGTAAATAAAGTGGTCATTTTTAATTACAGTAAAATTATATTCCAGTAGTGGTACTTAAAAACGATTATACACCAAGATATGAATTCAGCAGTCTGAGGTTGTTAAGAATTTCAAATGTCTAGCTGACTCAAATGAATATCGTATGGACTGATTCATTATCACATAATTTAGAAATTAACAAAATCTGCAGATTGTGTACATGAGATTTTTTTTTCAATAGTTACTAAACCAATAATTTCTTATTTGTATAAATCTCAAAGAAACATAAAGGTAAACAAGAATTTGAAAGGATGTCATTGACACTGACCTTAAGGGCATTACTCTTAAAAGGTCAAGGTCATTGAATGTTTAACATTCTGATATTAATATTTATACAAATTTAGGTCAATGTTAATAATCCTAGCAGCAACCATCACATTCTAAGGTTATTAATTAAATAAGAAATAAAATCCCACACTAGACTATTGATAATTTTTAGGCAAAACATAAATCAAACTTTTTTACTTTTGCAATCCCTCTATGAATAGGACTATTGATTAAATACAAAAGGTTAAGGTCAATTACCCTAGCCCTAGCTGTCAAGACAAAAGTCAGTGACCCTTGATCCTTTTCTACCTGGCAGGTGGTTGAGTATATTATGGTTTATATCCATTGTTTGGTAATTTTTCATAGATAACTGAGAAATAATTTATAGATAATGCAAAAATAAACCTAAATTTTAATACCTACCATGCTGTGTCCTCTAGAAATATGCCTTCACGCTCCAAATGCATGAACAATTCCCCTCCGCTTAAATACTCTAGGATTAAGTATAATTTACCACCTGTTTGAAAAGCATACACTAATTCCACTATGAATGGATGCTGGAAAATAAAAATAAATAAAATTTTAGACACTTTTAGGTATTCAAATTTTATTGAATAAAATAAATTCCAAGAATTTTTCTTCGTTTGTTTTTTATTCTTTAATTCGTAAATAAAAAAGTACCTTGACAGCTTCCAATATATTTCTTTCTGCTTTAGTGTGTGCTGTATCTTTTTGATTGCGTACTATAGATGCTTTTTTAAGTACTTTCATAGCAAAATGAGAACCGGCATCAGGCCCAGTAATTTTTCGCACTTGAAAGACCTTTCCATAGCCGCCCTTGCCTAAAACCTTTCGAAGCTCAAAATCTTGTGGCCCAAGGCGCTTGCATTGTCCGGGATTTACAGTATCTTCAGACAGTTGGATAGTTTCTGACCCTTCAGCTCTACAATAAAATCATAAATAGTACTGATTGTGCAGGTAGACATATAAATACAAATTTAAATGTTTAAAATACTATGTTACTTACTCAACAATACTGTTTACATGTAACTCAGGATCATAGTCCACCTGCGGTCAAAATGTATCAATTACAATCCAAATAAATAATAATCTAAATAGAAACTGGTGCTAAATACATTTTGATTTTTAGTTCATTGGTTAAACGCGTTATGAGCACAAATAAACTCGAAGGAAAGATCCTTGAGCATTGGGTCAATCTTTAGTTGTTATAGGTTAGGCAATATCTTTACAACAATTTGCATGGAGCATGGTGATCATAAATACCTCATCAACTTCAATGATATCGTCGTCGTCTGAATCTCCAACAGTAACCGTATCTACATCTAAATCAAAATCAAAAACACCTGCCATATACGATGACATTTCAAGACATCAGCAAGTGCACTATTTTTTGACACAAAAAATAATGTAAAACGGATCCTTTGCACAGGTATTAAACTGAATTTTGATAAAAAATACTGCGTCAATTAAGATAAATTAATTAACACGCTCTGAAAATATTTTAAAGTAACTTCTGTCACCCAACAATAATAGAAAAGTGAATAGATTTCCGTAATCGTATGAATGAACGAAACAAAATTCAATCAAGCGATTCCCGTGGCTGGCTCAGTGGCTCCTGCCGTGCCGTGGTATTTTTTCCATTCAAATAGAATGAATGAACGAATGAAAAAATAACGGAATCACGCTGGTTCCGGTTTCTATTGTCTATGATTAAGTGTTAATGTTGCCAGGTTAGAAAATAGATGTTCAGAGAATTACTGGCAAAATCATTGTGTCTCATATCTAAAAATAAACTTCAACAAATAAAAAAAAGTACGTTGGGGGTGTAAACATGTTATATCAAATTAATAATTTAGTGCTCTAAAAATGACTTTTTTCGTTAAGTTTTTGAGCTTTAAACGTTTCTTAAAAGCTTACTGAAGTGATATTATCCATAAAATGTGATAGTTTCAAAATCAAGTATATTTTTCTACAAAATCTTTCAATGGCTAGTGACAGCGATAAAAGTTCGAGTAATCATAACTTAGATGGTTCTCTGAGAAATACTAAGAACCAAGGAACTACTGGAAATATTGGTAAGTTCTTACCTTATCTCAGTGCCGTTTTAACTTCTCAATTTTCGCCAAAGTTTTGCTACACGATGCTTTTTTATAACCTTGTGGTTTTGCTGGGACTGTAAGTATACAAATAAATTCCCCAGTAAATCGTGTTGGTAAAATGTTTGTTTTTGTTTGGAATTTAACAAACTTATAAAAATGTTCTATACTTAAATGTGCGTAAAGTTAAAAACTAAAACAATCTTACAAATGATTCATTCATTGATGTCTCTTCATTCATTAGACCTGTTCAAATCAAATTATTACAAATGTCCTAAATATTGTTAATGATGTACCTAAATATAATCTAACACCTCCAGTAAATAAACTGAATGAATGACAAGCAATAATTAATAGGTAGGTAATAATAATGTTATCTTTTTTATTAAAGAAATAGTAAATCTCACTAAGAGATCATCGTTTAATAATATTGTAAATGCAAACTAATTGTTTACAGGGCAAATAAGTATGATGAGAATTTTGCCTTGTTATGAATGTTATGTTATATGGGTTTAAATGTATCTTATTATTTCTCGTTTAGTATGGCAGTAAGTAATGACAGACAAAACATACCCACATTTTGAAATAATTTTGTTTCAATGTTATTAGGTATAGAATTTCTTGTAAATCCACTTCACTTAGTTTGAAATAGCTATGCTGTCTCTAATTAGATAAAACTAACTTAATGTAAGTTTGTCAAGCAACACCTGGAATATTACATTCAACTTTCATGTCATATTACATATAAATACTATGTTATGGCAATGTTCATCGACATTATTCAAATTCACTTAGCATTCTAAATGCACTTTAATTTAGACCATCTAATTGTTCATGACAGGATGAAAAAAGCAAGTATTTAAGCATGTTTATATCCATTGTTCAGTACTCATTGCACAAGCTTTGCTTAGTTTGGGACTAGAGGCGCACGGTTCGAAGATATTTATTTATTATTATTTATTTATAGGTAAGTACATATTCAGATTATTTAATAATACTGCATTAAGCATAATATTTTAATTATTAACTTGTAATAGAAGTAGAACTACTTTTTTTTAGCTATACATAGATATTTTGGATATATTTAATATCCAGAATGTCTAATTAAAACTAAAATATATTTCTTCAATCCATTTTTTCCCTCATTATCTGTAATTAAAGACAATTTTTATTGTTTTGGTTTGAGCTAGTTTAAAATTAACAAATATAATAGTGCTCTATTTTATTCTAATTTAAACATATAGATGCATATAAATTGGTATGACTTAAAAAAATTACACTAGAAAAATTATTTAAGTCTCAAAGAATTTATTTTTATTAGTAGTGGAGCCTCAGATCATAGAAGGGGATCTCTTTCTATGATCTGAGAGTGGAGCCAACCATATTAAATTTTGCAATTTGTTTTTTTTATATTGCAAAAATACGTATATATAAGACGACTGCCGAGAGCCAGTCAGAGCCTACGCGCCTGTCTGGGTCTAGACAAAATGCACTTTTTGATCGAATCGAAAATCGAATCCGTCACAAAAACCGGCCAAGTGCGAGTCGGACTCGCGCACCGAGGGTTCCGTACCATTGATTTATCAAATTAAAATTATTATTTTTTATTTAAGTTATTAGTATGAAAGATTACGCGGTAATAAGCGGTTTACGATTTACGAGGTATTAAAAAAAAATACTTACTAGATCTCGTTCAAAACAATTTTCGTTGGTAGTTTTTATAGTAATGTACATCATGTTTTTTTTAGATTTTTCATTTTCTTATTTTACAAGTTAGAGGGGGGGGGGGACCAACTTTTTTCCACTTTGGAAGCGTCTGTCACGCAAACTATTCGGTTTAGAAAAAAAATGTTTTAGAAACCTCGATATCATTTTTGAAGACCTATCCATAGATAGATACCCCACACTTATATATTTGATGAAAAAAAAAATTTTTGAGTTTCAGTTCTAAGTATGGGGAGCCAGCCCCCAATATTTATTATTNCCCCACACTTATATATTTGATGAAAAAAAAAATTTTTGAGTTTCAGTTCTAAGTATGGGGAGCCAGCCCCCAATATTTATTATTATTTTTTTATTTTTGCATCAAAATCTTAATGCGGTTCACCGAATACATCTACCTACCAAGGGGCCGTTCAAGTATTACGTAAGCACCAAGGGGGGGTGGGGGGGTCTCTGTTTTGCTTATTTTGGATGACATGGGGGGTAGGGGGGTCTAGATGATGATTACGTCATCGTTAGTTATTTCATCATTGCAAACGTTGTGATAGGGATAGAGACATGCGATTTTTGGTTTTACGAAGGTAATACGATAGAGAATAATACAAAGTAATAAAAACCACCGGTTATAAGGGCATTTTTTGGAGAAATTTATTAAATAACCAAAAAAACACGAATTTAAAATCAGTTTTTTTTTTATCAAAAAGTATCATTTTTTATTATTTGTTGGCCTTTTTTGTGTATTTTATGTATTTTTTTAGTATCGCCTGTTATTTAGCATTATTACTGTTTCTACTTTATCAGGATATACCGCTTAGTTTAAAAGTAATTACGTTTTCTTTACAATAAGTAATTGGAAGAAAAAAAATTCTATAAAAAATTTAAAAAAATATCAAAAATTTTTTGACCTCTTTTTTGTCGATAAAAATAGGTCTAGTTTCATCTATTTTTATATGTACACTTTAACGTGACTCACACTGTATAAAAAACATTTATAACTAAAAATGTTTACGTAAGCATAGGGGGAGGGGGTAAGTGCTTTGCTTACTTTTGATGACAACGGGGGCGGGGGGGTAAAAAATGGTAAGAAATCTGCTTACGTGCTTACTAGTTTCAACAGTATAGCTCTTATAGTTTCGGAAAAAAATGGCTGTGACATACGGACGGACAGACAGACAGACATGACGAATCTGATAAGGGTTCCGTTTTTTGCCATTTGTCTACGGAACCCTAAAAAAAAAATTTTTCGACCACTTTTCGACTGGTTTGCGATTATAATGTGCACTTTGTCTAGTCTTGACCTACCTACTGGTTCTAATTGTATGCCAGAAGAACAGAAATATGTATGGAAACAGAATCAATTATTTTTATCTATTACAACAAAGGATTGCACAGATAAAACTCGCTATTATTGGTAGAGTTTTAGGGGCTCCATATAAAGTTGGAATGCAATAGAAATACTTTAGTGAGACGAATAATAAATTATAATTTTCGGAAATTTTCAGTCATTAGGTCATGGTCAGTAAAAGATAAATGTATGCCTTCTCCACATTGTAATTGCTCAAAGACTTATTGAAAATTTGTTTCACGTAGGTAATTGTTGAACGAATGAAATGCAAATGTCATTTACGTCAATCAACCATTTTGACACAACAAACAAAACAAACACTCATCAAAACAACATGGTATTTTAATTCAGTAACCTACTGTTTTTATTGCTGTAAAGCTGCAGCTTCTACAAAGTTATAAATCAAAATGGATATTATAAAATATATTGCTCCTGAAGAAGAGTTTTCCGAGTCTCCTATGACGGACATAATCGTGAAGAGAGTGATTTCACAAAGCTCCGGTGATTCTATTGAAATGAACATTTTGTGTACTGTAATTATCTTATTATTAATAGAAGAAGGTTTTTTACTTATAGATCAAGAAAGTGAAGTGATTGATATACAACAGTTTGACCTTGAACAATTAAAGAAATGGCAATCAAGTGAGGGTACATTTCAATTAAATTTGGTCATGAGTGGTTTCAATGATATTCCACTGAAACTCCTCATCAGTCCTCTAGGTAAAGCAGTGCTATTGAATTTAGTGATTCAGGAATTGGATGCAGAAACATACACAACATGCTTAACTCTTGGATCATATGTGTATCCCACACCACAAAGTTCTACAAGCCCTACAGTGTATAATATTAGCAAATATCAGCTCTGTAACATACTTAAGGATCGGTTGACTTGTGCTGTAAAGAGTAGAATAATAAGCCTTCATGGGACTGCAAGTGCAAGTTTGATAGGATTGCCTGAAGAAGTTCTGATTAATATTGTCATGAAATTACCTATATCGGGTGTAATCAACGTTATTAAAACATGCAAGATACTACATGATGCCATAAATAAAGAGATTGTGTGGCGTGCTTTAGTAAAAAGAGACTTTGGTATCGATCAGTGTGATACTGATTCATGGAAAACCACATACAAGAATAAATATGCAGAAAGTGAAGAGGAAAAATTACATCAAATACGTATTATGCGTGCAGGCTCAATGCATGAATATATGGATTTTTCTGATTTTATGTCTTACATTGATAATCCACTGGACATTATTTACCATTTTGATTAAATGACTATTGACTTCATACATTTTTGTTATTTTATATTTAATAATCCTTCTACAGTAAAATTTAAGTAAAGTAATAGCTTGTAATTGTGGTTAAAGGACACAATTACACAAGGGAACACCCAGTTTATACATTGGCATTATTAGAATTGTAAATTTTTACTGGATTAAAGTCAGTTGCCAACCCAGAGCTAAGTTAGTTTAGTCTTAAGCTGCTTTAAGTTTTTATATTTATGTGCAGACCACCACATAAACAATTTTCCTAGATATGTTACCTAACTTCGCTCTTGGTGCAGACCAAGACCAGTAGCAGTACTGGCATAAGTTTTGGATATAAATTATAACATGTTTGTTAGTGAAATATTTGATATTGCTAATAGTATGTGCATTTTGTTTGAGTATAAATCGTTATTGTAAAACAAACAATATTTGACATAGGTGAAAGCGGTGAGAAAACAAATCTGGGTGTGTTTCCTGTGGGCAAAGGAGGCCGGCATTTATCGGTTCCATTTGATACTTCAACAGCTAACGGTGATTTGAGTGAGTATATTTTGATTGACAATAAAATTAACAAATAAAGGTTACTCTACTACTTATGAAAAGTATTTTTTAAGATTTTATGCTATTAACAGAGAAAAAACGTGATATTGTATCCACTGCCTTTAATTAACACAAAACTTTCTGAATATTGGGTTTGTGATTTTATTTTTATAAATATCTAGCTCTTTTATTTATTTGTATGGGCAGAGGAAGAGCTATTGCTGAAGGATTTATACTACTTACAAAAAAAATTTTTTTTTGTATAAATTGCAATGTATATGAATAAATTAAGATATTATTATTATTTTAAATATGCAGACATTTTTTTTTAAACAAACAACGTGAAATAAAACGCTTTTTAGCACATGGATGGATTAAAAGAGTTTCTGAGTAATTAAATAAGTAGGTAAAATAACACGACTTTCGTGGGACACAAGCCTATAAATATCGCGTGGTTCCTACCATTTCGGTTTTTCGTCAGTATAGCAGCTTTTAAGGAAGATTATTGGAAAGTGGAGATTATGTTAATTAAAACGAGTTTCGCATTAAAACATCCTGAGCCATAAATATGGACAATATTATCCATGTTCTGTACCTACAAACGAAACCAAAGCCACTAAATATATAAGTCCCATAGACTTAATAATAGTGCATCTGAAATAACCTTTAAGAATTCAATATTAGTATAATAATGAGTGTTTTGTCTTACAGAAAGACTTGCTAACTAACTCTTGCAATCTGTATAAGTACTGCTGATTTTGATAGGTGCCTATTCCAATATCAATGACGATTTTTTCTCATTATTTTGTGCTATGTATATTAAATATCTTAGCTTTAAAATAATTTCATAGTTGGCCATAAACTATTAAATAAAACATTATCTTCTTTAAATACTAAAATATGCTCGTAACATTACAACATCGTATTGAATATACCTACCTACGTAGCAAAATGGATGGTGTTGAACAACCTTTCCGTATTATCATGGGGTGAATAGATAGATGTACGCTCGGGTAGGCGGGCGCCGGGCTCGGCAGCAGGGCGGGCGAGGGGTGCGCGAGATGCGCCGCGCAGCCTCCGCTCTCCGGATCTGTGGCGCCGCCATCGGCGAGTTGATGCGAGTCCCGGGAGGTGGACGCCACGCCGAGTGTGTCTCGTAGATGTAGGCCCCGTGCCAAGTTTATGTGCTGATGGCCTGTAGGTGAGCGGCCGTGGAGGGCCACCGGGGGCCGCGCGACAGGCCGCCGTGGCGGTGCTACGGACCCATGCTTACCCACAGCCGATCCGACGGCGATTTCCCCATATACGCCAGAGGTGAGCGTGTACACTCAATCTGTGTTATTGTCGTTGTGTATTAGCGATTACTGGCATGTATTACTACATCCTTTTTATACCGTCTAACACGTAGATTTTTTTACGTTTCATTTTTAATTCCTGCGATTATCGCGTAACATCGTTTGCCATGGCAAACAACATGTAAATAAGCCCCATGAAAAGAGCTCTACGTTGGACAGATTAGCTGCCATGATTAAAGACCAAGCGTTTTCGGCGTCTGTTATACAGGAGGTATAGTTATATTATATGTTTCAGGATGTAACAATTATTTTTACGTCTCTGAGACGTTTTTATCATATTTAATGTATGTCGTTATATTAATATGACTAACCACCAAGTGTAGTTAAGCATAAACATAATTTTAGATAGAGTATACCTACTTAAACGAATTTTAAGCTTCATTGCATGCATTATCCGCTACATAGGTTTCAGGCATAAAAATCATGGTTCGCCTGTTTTCTAGGGCAATAGGCTCTATTAATAAATGAAGGCTACACGCTTAATCTCACAGCGGCCGCTTCATCCATTTAAAGTCAACTCTGCGCACTGTGATCATTCAAGCAGGTAGTGACCATGTAACATTTCATACACGGTTTATTTTGGTTAATTATAATGTTTTTGCATTATTATCAATTACCTATCTACTTTACTCTACAGCAATCCACTATAAGCTGTATGGAATTCTAAGCGTGTTCTTGAACTTATTTAGCTATATTTCTTCGGGTCATTAAACTTCATTGAATTTTTTATGCCAATTTTAATTCTATTCATCAAATACTCTTTGGGAAATTTCCTTGTTATTGACGTTTGCATAGGAATAGGAACATGCTTATAAAACTTGTAATGCAAGATTCAGTATTATTTGATGCAGTCAGTCAGTACCTAACCGTCCAATTTAAGATAGATATAGATAACTAGCGGCCGCCCGCGACTTCGTACGCGTGGATCCTGTTTTACCCCCTTTTCCCGAATTTTCTTTGCTATAAACCTCACGGAGCCCGAGACCTTTCCAACGAATGCAAACCCGTGGAAATCGGTTCGTGCGTTCTGGAGTTATAGCGTCAGGGAGGAAAACCCGACTTATTTTTATATAGTAGATAATAGATTTTTAAAGAATGAGCTGTTAATCTAAGCTTGTTATTTACTACTTAAGCTCCCGAGCTTTTATTATAATATTTTTTCTCTTTCTTCTGGTCATAATTTAAGAATCCATCTCCTGAACAACCCTTTGCTTGCGATTAGACATTCCATGAGATAATTTCCAGAATCGGTAGTTCTACTAACATTTTTTGTTTATCTTTATCAGAGAATAGCTAAGATGTCTCTCGACTGACTCATTCTTCCATTTTATTCGTGACATCCAATATCACATAAGCTAGATAGAACTAGAAACTCTTATGTCGATTATTTGATTATTTTTAATCTTTGATCTGAAAATAACTTGATGTTTGAATTGTGAAAACCAAAAACGTATTTTTCAGAAAGGGTTAACTCGCAATATGACTCCACAAATGTAGCCGGGCAGGGTATCCTATACATTTATCACCATTAGAATGCGCAGACAGACCACGAAATATCTTCAATCGTGTTAGTGGCACGAGGAATCGATGGTATCCCATACATTCCTGTGAATCATTCGTCTACAATTTGACGATTGCTTAACGAGCTCTGAGGCACAACAGGTACAATATCCTGTACTCAGAAAAACAATTTGATAAGTTATCGGTCTTATCTTATCGATAAGGTTTCATATAATGTCTTAGTTATAAATCTCCGTCTGAACTACATGCACATATGTGGTTGAAGTCATGGGGACGTAGTTTGAAAGTGGCAAAGTGGATTTGCTGTGTAAGAATGGATGATATGGACATAAAAAAAGTGAAAACAAAACATAGGCCGATAGATGACGACACAAGGAGCGAATCTGGGGCCTTAGATAAGGACGACAATTGTAAGTGTTAGTGTGGTATTCACAGATAACAATATTTTAAAACATACTCAGCGGTTGCGGGATCATCCAGAAAATAATGAAGATACATATTTTTATTACAAAACGCGGGGTTCAAAATGTGGAGTACGCAAGTGAAGTGGTGGAAACATCCATAAAGAAATGAGAATATTTTTTTCCTTTAATGTTATAATGCTGTAATTCGTGTATCTGCAGAACCCCATCACCATAAAAAATATTGACACTACACAACACAGGTTTGCTGCTCTACCCTTTGGACTTCAGCTTGATATTTTTTTGTTTCTATCATGCATGCCGGCATCGCATGATTCGCATGGTTGTGAGTCCGTGGGATAAAGTAAAAAAAATGCATTTTGCAGTTTTTAAACGAGCCCGAAATCAATGACCGCCTTGGTCCGTGTCTTGGTAGAAAAAATAACACATAGCTACTTAGGTGGTATTTCCAATTGCTATTCTGTTTTATAACTGTACAAATTGTACAATTTTAATAAAATGATAAAAAATTTAAATTTTATAATGAATTTCATATAAATTAACAAAATCTGAGTTGGCTTTGCTCAAAGAAATCAAAATTGATAATAATTAATGATACATGGTGTTCATTATTTCTTATCGTCTTTACTTATGTTCATTAGAATTCACAACAATTAATATTTTAGTTATATGTATTTACTTATTTATTTATTTCAAAACTGTTGTATTATTGTAACTAATGTATAATTATTGTTTGTGGTTAATTAAATATATTTTCTTAATATTACAATGATATCTATCAAACTAAGTTGTCAGAGGAAATTAGACAGAAATATTTTGGTTTGACTAGTAAATATCCTGTGGTTTTACCCACAATGTTAAGTACATGACATTATTGCTGTGGTATGATAGAATTCAGGCCATTCCTAAAATATTATTTCGTTTATTAGGTTCTATTTGTTTCTATTGAAAATGCATTATGTTTTCTTCGTCATAACTAAAATTAAATCTTCAAAATCAGTTTGACCTAGATAGATGTCATTTCGTTTACAAGCTTTACCTGGCTGAACGTCGACTTAATCATTTTTTCATTATTTAAAATTAAAATTTACAATTTTTGCAAATAACTATAGTATCCTTTAAACTTTCCACGGCATTATTGATTAATAGATGATCATTGATTACCTAAGTTTGTGTTCACTTAACTTACGAATGCTAGTCGCATCATAGTTGTTAGCGTGGAGGCAACGTAAGGAGCCGCGGGGTGTCGGGTGTTACACCTGCTTCGCACGGGGGGCGCGGGCCTTCACGTGGGTGACGCGGCGTAGGTACCGACGCTGCACAATGCAATGGTTGCACCGCACGGAATGACCGGCTTGCCTACTGTCACGGAATAAGAATTAACCACTGACTAACTCGGTATTAACTCGCTCTTTTGTTTTTAAAAATAAAAGTTTGACGTCAGGTTTTTGTAGAGTTCGTAATACTGATGGATGTAAAAAAGATTTTATGGCCGTTTATGAAGGAGATTCATTGTATTGACAATTATTCAAATGAAAACTACATTACAGGAAAAAAAGAACAAGACAAGTTTACTAAAGGTCGTTTTTACCATTATCCTTGTATTGTTACGCTGACTCTACTTTACTGGGTATGACTGAATAGCAAAAACAACATATTATATGGTTTGTAATTAATAACAGTTTGAGATTATTTTTAAACC